ATTTTAACAATATTAATGCTTTCAATCCATGAACATGGGATATCTTTCCATTTCTTCATGTCTTCTTCAATTTATTTCAACTATGTGGTATTGTTTTCAGGTTACAAGTCTTTCACCTCCCTGGTTAAATTTATTCCTAGATATTTTCTTATTTTTGATGCTATTGTAAATCGTTGTTGTTTTAATTTCTCTTTCTGATAGGTCATTGTTCATGTATAGATGAAAATGATTTTCATATGTTTATTTTGTGTCCTGTGGCTTTAATGAATTCTTTTATTAAATCTAAGAGTTTTTTGGTGGAGTCTTTAGGGTCGTCTATGTATAAGATCATGTCAGCTGCAAACAGAGAACATTTTACCTCTTTATTTCCTGATTGGATGCATTTTACGTCCTTTCCTTGCCTAATTGTTTTGGCTGGGACGTCCCGTACTATGCTGAAGAGAAATGGTGAGAGTGGACACCCTGTTTTTTTCCTGATCCTTGAAGCAAAGCTTTCACCATTTCATTGTTGAGTATGATGTTAGTTGTGGGCTTCTCATGCCTGATATTTATTATGTTGAGGTAAGTTCCTGCAGTGCCTAATTTGCTGAGAGTAATTTTTTTTTTTTTTTTTTTTGCCGAGGAATATTCACCCTGAACTAACCTTTGTGCCAATCTTCCTTGTTTTTTGCTTGAGGAAGATTAGCCCTGAGGTAACATATGTGCCAATCTTCCTCTATTTTGTATTGGGTCGCTGCCATAGCATGGCTGACAAGTAGTGTAGGTCTGAGCCTGGAATCCATCCCCATGAACCCATAGGCTGAAGCGGAACCTGCCAGAATTAACCACTACTCCATGGGACCAGCCCTAATAGTATTTTTTTTAAATCATAAACGGATGCTGAAATTTGTCAAATGCATTTTTGGCATCCGTTGAGATTATCATATGATTTTTACCCTTCATATTGTTAATGTGGTGTGTCAGTTTTACTGATTTGCTTCTGCTGAACCATGCTTGAATCCCATGGATAAAACCAACTTCATCATGGTGTGTTCTCTTAATGTGCTGTTGAATTCAGTTTGCTAATATTTTGTTGAGCATGTTTGCATCTATGTTGATCAGTGATATTGGCTTATAATTTTCTTTTCTAGTAGTGTTCATGTCTGGCTTTGGTATGAAGGTAATGTTGACCTCATAAAATGATTTTAGAAGTGTTCTCTCCTATTCTCAATTATTTAAAATGGTTTGAGAAAGATTGGCATTAATTCTTCTTTAAAGGTTTGGTAGAATTCACCACTGAAAACCTCTGGTCCTGGGCTTTTCTCTGTAGGAATGTTTTTGATCACTGTTAAATCTCATATTCCTTGTCATTGGTCCATTCAGGTTTTCTATTTCTTTATGATTCAGTCTTGGTAAGTTCTATGTTTCTCTGAACTTATCCATTTCTTCCAGGTTATCCAATTTGTTCGTATATAATTGTAGAATTGTGTCTATAATCTTTGTATTTCTGTGGCACCAGTTGTAATGTCTTTAATTTTATTTCTGATTTTATTTATTTGAATGTCTCTTTTTTTCTCTAATCAACCTTAGGTTCATCAATTTTGATTTTCTTTTTTAAAATGGTAGGTCTTAGTTTTGTTGATTTTTTATATACATTATTTTCTAGTCTCTATTTCATGTATTTCTACTCTGATATTGCTTATTTTCTTCATTCTGTTGACTGTGGGCTTACTTAGTTCTTTTACTCGTTTTTGAGGTATAAAGTTGGATTTTTTTTTTTTTTTGAGATCTTTCTTTTCTCTTAATGTAGGTATTTATCACTATAAACACTTCTCCCAGAACTACTTTCACAGCTCTTTGGTATGTTGTGGTTTCTTGTTGTATCTTTTAAGATATATTTTGTCTTCTTTGACTCATTCTTTTATCAGGAGTGAGTTGTTTAATTATCATATTTCTATTTCTATCATATTCTATTTCTGTATCTATCATATATCTCTTTCTCCTTTCAGATATGTTAGTACTTGTTCAATATATTTAGGTGCTCCAATGTCGAATGCACATATATTTACAATTGTTATGGCCTCTTGATGATTTGGCCCCTCCATCATTGTATAGTGACTTCTTTGTCTCTTGTTACTATTTGACTTAAAGTTTATTTGTCCAGTATAAGTTTAGCTACACCTGGGTTCTTTCAGTTTCCATTTCCATAGAGTGTCTTATTCCATCCCTTTACTTTCAGCCTATGTGTGTCCTCAAAGCTACAGCGAGTCTTGCCTAGTTGAGTCTTTTATTTTTCGATCCAGTCAGCCTTCTGTGTGTGTCTTTTGATTGGATAATTCAATTCATTTACATTCAGAGTAATCATTGATAGGTAAGGACTTAGCAATGCAATTTAATTAATTGTTGTCTAAGTGCTTCATAGTTCCATTGTTTCTTTCTCATTCTCTTGCTGCCTTCGTTTGAGAATTGACGCTTTTCCATAGTGCTATACCTTGATTTCTTTTTCTATCTTTTCTGAACGTACTATAGGTTTTGCTTTATGGTTACCATGTAACTTACATACAATATCATAGCTATAAAAACCTCGTTTAAGTTGATAACAAATTCACTTTGTTTGCACACACGAACTATACCCTCTGACTCCCCTCCGCACATTTTATGGTACTGTGTCACAATTTACATATTTTTCTATGGAGTATCCATTATCAAATTATTGTAGCTATAGGTATTTTTAAAACTTCCGTCCTTTGATCATTATATATGAATTAAGTGACTTTTACACCAACATATTAAAGAATTCAAGTATTCTAAATTTAACAATATATTTACCTTTCCAGTATGTTGTATACATTTATATGTTCTCATGTTAGAAATTAATGTCCTTACATTTCAACTTGAAGAATTGCTTTTAGCATTTCTTGTAAGGTAGGTCTAGTGTTCAGGAATTCCCTCAGCCTTGATTTGTCTGGTAAACTCTTTACTGCTCCTTCATTTCTGTAAGGCAGCTTTGCTGAGTAAAATATTCTTGGTTGAAAGTTTTTTCTTTGTTTCATCACTTTGAATATATCATCCCACTCTCCCCTCCATCAAGGTTTCTGTTGATAAATCTCCTGATAGCCTTATGGGGGTGAATGTGAGGTATTTTTTGCTCTTGCTTCTTTCAAAATTCTCTCTGTCTCTGGTTTCAGCCATTTTTATTATAATGTGTATTGTAAAAGATTTTTTGTCTTGAATATGTTTGGGGTCTCGTGAGCTTCTTCATTTTGATAATCCATATCTCTTCCCAGATTTGGTAAGGTCTTAGAAATTATTTCTTTAAATAAACTGTCAGCCCCTGTCTCTAACTCATCTCATTCTGGGAATCTCTTAACGCCTACAATGTTTCACTTCATAAACTACCACAATTCACGTAGGCTCTCTTCATTCTATAATTATTTTTCCTTTGTTTTCCTCTGACTAGAAACTTTCAAATATCCTGTCTTCTACTTCACATATTCTTTCTTCTGTTTGGTAAAGTCTGTAGTTGATGCTCTCATTGTATTTTTCATTTCATTCATTGAGTTCTTGAGTTCCAGAATTTCTGTTCATTTCTTTTTATGATTTGTTTCTCATTGTTTTCCTGATTTGCTTGAACTGTCTTTTTGTGTTTACTTGTAGCTCACTGAGCTTCCTAAAAACAAGAATTTTGAATTATTTAATAGGCTAATCATAGATCTTCATTATCTGGGTTCAGTTACTGGAAAAAAATTGTGTGCATTTTGTGGTATCACGTTTCCTTGATTTTTCATGGTTCTTGAAGTGTTGCACTGCTGTCTTTGCATTTAAAGAAGCAGTCAATTCTTCTAGTGTTTACTGACTGAATTTGGTAAAGAAATAACTTCTGTCACCCCTGCTAGGGATTCTGATGCTTTTTCAGACCTTTTCTGTGGATATACTGGCTCTACACTTATTGGAACCTCCTGGGAGGGAATTCTTACAGTGTACGCCTTCCCTCAGTCCTGCAAAGCCAGTCTGGGTGCTAACAGCTTCCTGTTTGCTTTCCCTGAAGAAATGCTGAAGGATTAAGTTTATGCTTCCCCCATTCCTGTGGAGTGAGATTGGCTTTCTGAGTTTGCACACTAGCTATGTTCAAAGGCTTTCACTTTCCCCCAGTGAGAAAGTATTTGCTACTTTTGGGAGTATACACAGGGAGCTGACCATGGGATGGGGAGTGTGTGGGTGAGATGTGTTGGGGTGCGTGTGGGTGAGCAGGACCTGCAGGCAAGGCATCTTCAGTGGCTAGTGGGCAGGGTTCCTGATGAAGTCTGCAAAGTGCTTAGTAGGATTTGTGTCCCTTGAGACATTCTGAGCCTGTATGTTGTGCTCCAAGCTCTTCCCAAACCAGCCAATCATGCAGATCGCCCCAGTATTCTGGATGTGTTGGGGTAGAAATGGGCCCTTTTGTCAGTGATGCACACAGCTGAGGAAGTCAAACACTCACTAACAGTCTCTTTCTTTCCCTCAGTGAGAAAATCTTGGGCCAAGTGGATCTCTCTTGGCACTGAGCTGTGCCAGTGTAGGAGAGGGGTGACTCTGGTAAGTGAAACTGTACCTCTCACCCTCTTCAATACATCCAATCTGGGATATTTTTGCTCCAATGGTGAGCTGAAATGTCTCTGCTGGACCTCTCAACTCCAAAAATGGTGCTCTTGTCCATGGGTCGTTGTCAAAGTCAGTGTTCTTTGTGGGGAAGAAAAGGGAAATTTCTTTTCTGTCATCCCGCTGATATCACTATATTATTACATGTTTCTTCTTTGTGGCACTTTTACCATTTTCTTGAATAATGTCTATCAGTAGGCTCCTTTATTTTGCTATATATGTATCAAGAAATTTTTATATCCATTCATACACACTTGGAAAAAATTAAAATCAAACAGGTCCATTGGCAAAACAAGCAGTTGATATAAACATTTTGTCACAGGTAATATAGACGAGTCTTAGCAAATCATAAACATGTTAGGATCATACACCAGTGTACTTACTGACACGGATGCATTTGGGAGGTGGAGACCAGCCGTTCTCCGTACATGTCATTAATGTCTGCTCATCTGGAAGACTGTAGCCAGAATGGCATTCAACTTTTACAGATTGACCCTGTAAATAATTTTTTCCCCAATATGGATAATTTCCGTGTTCCAAGTAATTGAAAATACATTGTCCTAAGGATCATAAAAATGATAAATGAAAAATTTTAAAAACCCGTAAATTTGGCAAAAATAGTAAACTAACAACTATCCTTACAATATTTAAATTGGAATAAATAACCTTCCAAAAATAATATAGAATTTAAGAAATACTAAAGTTACTACCAAACATTTTTTAAAAATAAAAAATTACTACTGAATATTATTTACCTTTACTTTTAAATTAAAATATATATACATAATATAGATATTCTTATAAAGCCTCTCTTTTTATCTCTCATGTGATTTTCATGAAGAGGTCCTCGTGAAAAGAAAGATGTATATTGGTCATTTTGCTCATAGAACTCATCTTTTGGCCTTAATTTTTTCATATAAGACTCAGTTGTATTCACTTAAGTGTTTAACTCTCTCCACTCTTTGAAATATTTGTTTATATACAATTATAAAGAGGTTTACTTACTTTGGCAGGGTACTGCTGGCGACCATCCTTCTTGTCTGCACTGAAGATAACCCCCTCTACTTCTTGAAGGAGTCACAAAATTTTGATCACAGTAATAGTAATAATGTTGTCCTATAGGTACTGGAAAGTATGGTTTATAATAATCTTCATCATGTAGACGTCCATGTTTTATTTCTGGAAAATCACAAGGCTTCACTAGCAATAAAAAAACATAACAAAACCGGTATAAACAATGTTTTACCTCAATAAAAATCAAATTAGACATGAATGTTTCACTGATGAATTAGATTCTCTTCTCTTCATAATGATACTCATTGCATTAGAGTTTCTTGGACAAGAAAAGTTATAAAATTCGGATGACTAAGGTATGTGAGGAAGTCCTTGGTAATGAAGACAAAATTATGTCTTGTGGATCATATGATATAGAAACTTGTATGAAAACTCTCCAGAAAGAAAACTGCACAGATATGTTTAATAAAGTCTCCTTGAGTACATGTCACCCAGCCCTGGTGGATTAAATGAGCATCTTGATTGAGAGATGAAAGTACTGATCTTATCACTCAGCTCATCTGTCTTCTTTTCCTTTCTTTTCTATTCTCATCAGAAATCAGAGTCCTGTCTTTTCTTCTCACACCAACTCAATGTAGGAAGACAACGAGTTTTTTGTTTTTGTTTTTGTTTTGTGGATTAACATTCGTTAGTTTGTTTTCTATTTACTGCAAACAATGTGAGAAATAGAGTGAAGAACAAAAATTTTCCATTGATCACATCATACAGAAAAACAAATTCTTATTCATGCCTCAAATTAGTCACAGAGCCAAGTTTTCCTTTCTTTATCTCTCTAGAGAAATGAAGTAGCAATATTTCTTAATATTCAAATAGTTAATATTATGGTAAACAATGGATTGTTTATTTCTAATTTTACCTGGAGTATGAGATGTATTTAAATACGTTTTATAAAAATTTTTAAATGAGGTATAATATACTAACAATTTGTTGAGTTAATCTAATATATTAAACAATTTTAACATATATGTTTAACTGCTGTGTTGTTTATCACACGTTTATATATAACATTTTTCAGAAAAATTTGCCCTTTCCATTGGAAGATTTAGCGATAATCTAACACTTTTAATACCAGACTAGTAGAAGTTTTATCCATGAAATGGGATTCTATTACAATAAACTTTATGCATCATGTTAAAAAAAGTTCCAACACACACACACTTACACAGATATGCATGCACCAAGTATTCATTATCATCTTCATCTTCCTTAAGATCACTGCTGAATTTTCTTATTTCTTTGATTAGAGACATTTTTCCAGTTGTTTCTACAGATTCATTAAGTGGGTTATGAACTTTGAATCCTTGCAGATACTAATGTCTTTCTTTAACAAAGATTTGTGAATGATACCTTCTCTAGGCATAGGTTCTAGGCTTAAGTCCATAACTCTTATCACTCATAAATGTTTTCACCACTTTTTTGAAGCTTCCAATATTGAGATTAAAATGCTCATTTAGTCTCATTCTTTTTAAGCAACATTTTAGTTTTTTACCCACCAGTTTTGGGGGATTGAGAGTATTTTGTCTTCACCTTGCATGAATTGCAACATGATATGTCAAGATGTGTGTCATTTAACAATAATTATACCTCGAGCAAGCTTAACTCTTTGGATTTTCAAGAAAGTCTTAAGGAATTTAATTAATTTTTTCATTAAATGATAGAGGATAAAATTGAACTCTGGTTGTCTGATTTCAGAATAAACATGGTTATCCACCTCATTTGGTGCTTCAAAGAATCTGAAATAAATAAAATAGTCTAGTGATATTTCTCTTCAAAAGTTACACAAAAGGGGCATAATAAAAAGTAGGTGTTACTATTGTCACAGGACTGAGCCCCTTGCTATTTTTCCCTTTGATTTGGGAACACTTAAATCTGTTTTTACCATCCAACAAGATCATTTCTGAAGCAAATATAATATTTCACATATGGTCTGATCAGCATTGACGTCGGCAAGACTTAGAACAGCCTCATTCTAACGCTTCCACTTCTACCAGTGAGGGTTGTGGTCTCATTAGCAGTTATGGTGCTTGCCTCATATCTTTGACTCAAACTTATCTCAAAATTTAATGAAATAACACTAATTTTTAAAAATATTTCAAACTGTCTATATTTCTGCAGCTAATTCCTTTCACTCAAGCCTAGGATCTTATAGTTATCACCACTAAATGTCATGTTATTAGATTCAATCTAGCATAGAGGATTCCTTTTGAATAATGAATCTGTGCTAATGAGATTCAGTACATTATGCCCTCTGTCAGTCCCGCTGTGAATTTGTAGTGCATTTCCTCTAAATCTTGAAACTGTTTGATGACACGAGTGAGTAATGGAGCAGGCCTAAGAACAAAGTCCTACATCTGAGAATCACATAAGGTCATTTAATGAAATAAACTATCTGATAAACCATCTAACCCATCTATTTCCCCATCTTGTTCACAAGAACTTCAGAAGGTCCCTTGTAGAATAATCTTGCTGAGATCCAGATACAGATGGGCTGATCTATCATTTTCAAAAACCAGCCATAAACGTGGTTAAATATTTTCCTTAGGTAACTGATTAAGGATGGCAATGTAGGAGGACCCGGAACTCATATCCACCCACAGACATATCAAATTCACAGCTACATACAGAACAAATTTCTTCTGAAAAAAAAAACAAAAGCTAGCTGAGTGACTCCCACACATCAGAGAAAAGCAGAAAAACACACATCAAAGTCTGTAGGTGAGACAGGACACATCTCGCCATAAACCTCAACCTTAGCATGGCGACCCACAATCAGGAGGCAACTCAAAACACGAAGATTTTCCCTGAGGAGTGAAGGGTTTGAACCCCACATCTAGCACATCAGCTTTCAGCCCTGCACCCGAGATATGAGTCCCCAAACATCTAGCTTTGAAAGCCAACGGGACTTGGGTCCCGAAGATCCACAGAGCAATGAACTGAGACACATGAACTGAGAAATGATTTTAAAAGGCCCACATGTGTGGACTCACCCACGGCAGGACCCAGTACAGAGGAAGGCAACTGAAAAGGGTCCAGACCTTCCATGAAAGAGGCTTATTTGCCTATCATAAAGCATGGGTCTGATGAGAAGGAATGTAATTTAACTCACATCTAGGAACCTACTTAAATACTCTCCAAGGATGGAGGCCAGTGGATGCCATGTTTGTGCTCTTCCTCTGCCTCACGCCAGACCACCAGCATCTCCCAGAAAGGAGCTTGTACCCTTCTTTGACGCTCTGATTTTTGTGGCTGGCACCCAGGAGATGCTTCTAGATTGCTTGGCTCTGCTGGCCAGGAAGGCTTACACTTGCAGGTTCCAAAGGACTGTAACAAATGGAGAAAGAGTTTCTAACAGGTTCTTTCTGTGGAGGAGGCCGATTAGATTCACCTTCATTGCTGTGGACTGATGGTCAGATTTCTAATTAAAGCCACCTCTAAGGACTGTCTTAATCCTCTCCAGACACCTTGGAATGTGGTGCTATCTTCACGCTTTCCATCTGCCATGATCCAGAGCACCCTTAACTCCCCAATGGGAGCTGGTACAAGTGTCTGGTTCCCAGTTTTTACGTCTGGTGCACCAGATTTAGTGGCTGCCACCCAGGGGATGTTCCTTGATCACCTAGCTTTAGTGGCCAGTGGGGCTTGCGGTCATGGGCCTCACAGGACTATAGCAAATGGAGACAAAATTTATGGCCATCTAACACCCACATGGCACAGTGCAGATGCAGACTGAAGTACAACATCGTTTGTCTGTGAAAGAGGCTCATTAGCTTGTCCTGCAGCTTTGGCCTGCGGGGCAGGCTTCTGGTTGGGGACATATCTAGGGGCCCACTAAGTGCTCTCCAGGGACTGAGGCCGGGAGACACCACTGTGTGCTGCCCTTCTGCCTTGCTCCAGCTCACCAGTATCAGTACCCTCATCTGGTACTATGATTTCTATGGCTCCAGCCCAGGGGATACCTCTGGATCACTGGGCTCTGGTGGCCCATGGGGCTTATGCTCACAGTCCCACAGGACTGTAACAGATGGAAAAAGCATTTTTAACTGTCTACCAAACCAGGGCACAGTAGAGGCAAAAGACTGAGTAGTCTGGTTTTACTGTGAAAGAGGCCTATGAGCCTAGCTTCATAGCTGAGGACTGAGGAGAAGACTTCTAATTAAACACAAAACTAAAGGCTGACTGTATTCTTCTTTCCAGAGACCATGGAGGGCAGGTGCTGTCTTCATGCTTTCCATTTACCAAGCTCAAGAGTGCTAGGAGCTCCTGGAAGGATGCTGGTGTCCTGGCTTTTACATCTGGTGCCCCAGTTTTTGTGGCTACTGCCCAGGGATCAACACTTGATTGCCTGGCCCCTCTGGCCAGTGGGGTTTGTGTTCATGTGTTCAACAAGACAGAAGCAAAGATAAAAACAGGTCTTCACTGGGCAATACCCACAGCTCAGCTCAGACGGAGCAGGCAGAAGTGCCCCCATCCCAGTCTTAACCTGAAAGAAGTATATATGCATACTTTAGAAGATGCTGCCTGACAAGGCTGGGCCTGTGGCATAGTGGTTATGTTGGTGAGCTCCTCTTTGGCAGCCCAGGTTTGCAGGTTTGGATCCCCGGCATGGACCTACACCACTCATCAGCCATGCTGAGGCAGCAAGCTACACACAAAATAGAGGAAGATTGGCACAGATGTTACCTCAGGGTGAATCTTCCTCACTGAAAAATATATTTAAAAAAAAGCTGCTGCCTGTGGTCTTGGCTTCCAGTCGGCCTGAGTCAAGGTGCTGACTGAGATCTTCCCTTTGTGATAATGACACGTCTTGGCACACCCTCAAC